GGAAAAAAATATTTTAAAGTACCTATCTGTATATTCTTTAAGTATTTTAAATAGTTCAGTAATTTTAGTAAATAATAAACAGAAGTAACAATGTTGCAAAGCTACCCAATGTCATTGGTGTGGAAATGCACTCAGAACAAATCAAACAATTTATTTTTATATGAGTTATAACACTAAGGACCTACCACAACTACATATACATGAAGACATTTTAAACGTATATTCACATAGAAATTAGGTGACGTGGCATCTTTCTACGCATTTCCAAATTAAATCTTGTGAGCTACTAGCAATTTTAAATGAAATGAACGAGTGGAGAGTTGACAAGATTATTCACATCTATAGTGACACTATTGGTTGAAGTGGGTTGGGATAAGACTTGCCTCAAGTCGATTCTGATGTGCCTGTTGCACTACCACAGTTTTCATGGTTAGACACCAAACTAAAGTAAAACACAAAATAATTTGTGCATTTCTAACAGATCAGGATAAATAGTTGGAATTGAAGAAGTGGATATTACAACATACAAGTTAAAAACAAATTGTTCTGAATGTCTTTTTTAAAAAGAAAGTTGCAAAAGATACAAACACACACTTAAAAAGAAGACTTCAATTTATAAAAGTTTACAAAGCAAATCAATCCATTGCTAATTCATTTTCTGAATATGGTTGGATACATGTACAATAGAATTTGGATTAAGTTACATCTGTGCTAAAAATAAATAGCTTTGAAGGCTGTTCAATACAGCACACTTCACCTTTACAATACTGTCCATTGAACAATATTTAATAGTGATGATATAAACATACCTGTGGATTTGCTTTTGCTAAATTCTCTATTTTGAGCCAAGCCTCTTCACGTTCTTTCAATTTTGCTTTCTCCCTAAACATTACAGAAGTGAACATTTTGAGACACCTAAAGAAACTAGTTTAATAGTTTGAAATTGCAATTATCTCAGACAGTGCAATGAAACAACAACAGTTTTGGTGGTATTGGTTCTATGATCTGTGAAGTGAACACAGAGCTGTTCATAGTGGATGTGATCACAATGGAACCAAAGTAGTTTACTGTGCAGGTAGCCATTATATGGATCTTTGTTACAGCTACCCCAAACTGACACTGACCTTTTTGTGCTAGTTATACAGTTTTAAACAATGATCTTTTCATGATTGCCTCCCTAATCAGATGAAGCAGTTCTGAAAAATTATATTGGACTTGAAACATTAATTATTTTCTTGCTTGAAAGATGCTGCCAGACTTGCTCCAGAATTTTGTGTTTTTATTTCAGATGAAACAGTATTTCTCTATTCATTGTTAAAATCTGTCACAATTACAAAAGCTGCTGTTAAATCTCCTTTTTGTCATGCATTCAAACCATAACTACAGATGGATAGTTTCTAAACCCAGACATGGTAATAATGAATCTACACTTCATTTAAATTATTGAATTTAACAACTCCAAAATGTTTCTAGCTTCTATAACTTCATTTACCTAGACTCCATTTCATAAAGATTATATCTTTGAATATTTAAATTCAGTTTCTCATTCATATACTTCAGCATCATTTTACTGAGCATACGTTCCTGCTCCTTCTGTAATTTATTTCCTCATACTTGTCCATTTCAAATCACAAACTACATGTGGCACTATTCTGCCATTAAAGGAATGTCTCTGTTGCTTGCTGATTAATTGTACAGTATTTCAAATCATTTTCTAGTTCAACCACCTAATGCCACAACTCAAATCATTGTGTTCCAATGTTCCAAATATATAACCGTAGAATGATGTACCACAACAAAACCACTCGCCTCTTTGCCCTCGTGCTGGCTAAGTCTCACACCCCTGCTCTTTTCAGTTAACTTTTAAAAAATGTTTTCCTTTCAAATATTTATTTAATACTGTTTTGAAAATAACAATTAAAACTGTTTCAATACTCCTTCAGGCAATGCATTCCTGATAATACTCTGCATAAAAGAGTTCACAATCTCACTTCTATAGTGGGACAGAACTTTTCTGATTAGCTTTGCGAGGCACCTCCAAGAACTATTAAAGATTAGTTCAATACAAAACAGAATCTGAAGGAATGAAGGCAAGCTACTGAGGGTGAACTGGATAAAACTGTTAGAGGAGAAAACCAAGACAACATGTTATCAGTTAGCATCAAGTTACACATACATACAGTACAGGATAAATATATACCACGAAGTGGTAAAATAAAGACTAATTACACTTCAAACAAAATGGAGGGATTAAGGGTAAAGTAAATATCTGCCAAAGTAGAAGGCTATGGGTAGTGTAAGATGAATATAAAACAAAAGTAGGTAAGAAACGGAACAGGAAAGTTCATACAGAATTGGATCATAAAGAAATTGAAAAGAAACAGAACTTAGCTTCATCCATATATTTACAGCAAGCAGGTTGAAAGAGTACAAATACTCAGGCGATGTGAAAGGAGGACATAGAATTGTTGGTTGAGGTAGGTATTTAAATGCTTGTGGTGTCCAGACAAAAAGCAGCAGAACTTTCAAGGAACAGTAACAAGGTGAAGTAACTAAAGGCAACACACTAGTTCTAGAGGAACTGCATACAGGAATATTTAAAGTGTCAACTAACAAAACTATTCTTGTCTTTCATCAGAAATTGGAGTACTTGTCTATTATGGGGGAGAAAGCTAACAATTTTTGAAAGGAGAATAAGACTGAAATCACATCTGTCATAACTGCCAGCAGCTTGTGCAGCTTCAGCTCAGATATGGTGAGCTGGAGTTGGTGATGCACGACTCAATGGGAAAGCTACCTGGACACTCTTATTCTGGCAAGTTTAGGCTGGTAGCAGTGCGAGTGAGCAGGTGAAGTACACGATGGAACATCTGTGTGGGAAAACCGGTTGAGAAATACCAGGAAGAGGTACAGATGTTTGAGGAAGTTGGAGTGGATCTCTGAGGGTTTATGGGACAGCAGCAGACCAACGGAGTTATAACATAGGTTAAGTATAAATAAGCTGAGGAGGAGGATCTAGTTTCCGTATCCCTGGAGCTGGCACACTGAGTCAGTCTCTTAAAATTCCTCCTGTTGATTGACCAAGTACAGGATACTGAAGGACCTCTCAGCAGAGTAGTAAATGATGAGAACGTTCACACAGCATTGACAAGGTTTGACAGTGTTAAACCTTAATCTTTGAAACAGGGGACCAAGTTATCTAGAACACAAAGAAAGGCTGGACTCCTGAGACCAAGAAAGAGGCCACCCATCAGGGAGGTCACACAGTACAATCGAGAATTAGGTCTCAGGGTGAACAGGCAGATGGAACAGATTACTGAAAAGTAAGCGTAGTTCCAGTCTCTGCTGCCTTTATCTCCACGGTAAGGCTTCTGCCCGATCCTACTCGTATATTCATGGAGTGCAACAGCCAACTGTGTATTGTATTGTCTTGCATAAACCTTATATAGCAATCTGCTAGACCAAGGAATGAAAGTTGCTCCCTCCCCATTTTAGGCTAATGTCATTCTTCTTACTGCTTGCATGTTCTCACTGTTAGTCCCAACGACCAATGCAAAAAAAAGTGGCCTAACTACCTTTCAGAGATAGTAGGAACTGCAGATGCTGGAGAATCCGAGACAACAAGGTGCAGGGCTGGATGAACACAGCAGGCCAAGCAGCATCATAGGAGCAGAGAGGCTGACGTTT